CCATGGTACATCTTCAAGGATATGAATATGTATGGCTAAGCACAATTGATAACAGTGCATTTAAATTCCAAAATCAATCTCCATAATAGTCTATGTGTTTCCTACTGCCAAGGGGGTCCCTTAGAGTAGTGAGAGAAGATCTTCACCCTGAAACCTACAGCATCCCTTTTCAGCAGAAAGTAGCTAAGAGAAGACACCATCCCCTTTTCCTTATGAATCAGGGTGGAGTCTCTCTCAGGGAGGAATGATAGGGAATGGTAAAGGACACACTGACAAAGGAGATTAATAAGAACTGGCTTTGATAAACACTATGGCAATGGGACAATTAAGACAGACTTTCAAGGGGGGAAAAAAGAGGAATGAACTGGGGAGGAGGGTAGAGAAAATAGTGCAACAATGAATGAATGGAAACACCCATTTTGAAAAGAATTTTCTCTGCTCTTTCCATTCTAGGTAATGTATTTCTTTTTCTTTCACTCAACAAGACAAAAAGTGTTCCAAGCTTTGTCTGTTTGTTCATATAGCTCCCATCTTTTGCCACCTGAATGAATTCTTCCTTACTTATTCCCACGTGTTCAATTTCTAGAATTTTCACCTCCTCCATATAACGTGCTGTAATAATTTAATCCACACTGATATTTTCTTTCAGTAAACTCTACTGGTACATGCTAGTACTAACGTATATTGTTGTTCTTGTTAGTCATAGATGACTCATAGTGACCCTATGAACGAAAGGCCCGAGCACTGTTCACAGATTTTCCAAAGGCAAGCCATTTTGGATGCCTGTCCTGCTTCCAAGCTTGCTTTAATTGAGAAGCGCCACCAATTACTGTTGAACATGGGTATCTGTTATCACATTTGGCACATCAGTGTCACAGCATCACAGCAACCACTAGTTACCTCTGTACAGCAATGCAAAAACCAGTGCTATACCACTTAGAAGAATGTTTGAAGAAAAAGCAATTTAAACCAGGCCTGAGAGCTGCAGGTGTGAGGGCACTTTAGGACTTTAAGCCACTGCCTGCCTAAAACCCTAGGCCAAGCCTCAAGGCTCTCCCTTCTGGGGGGAGAGAGCAGTACCACACATCAAACACAAGCTCGGGGGGGAAAAAGCACACGACCCCAAAACTTGTGATTACTTGAGCCCGCACACGAGGACCACCATGCTCAGGCAGCAAGAAGCCTCAGAGAACCCTGGGTGGAGTCGTCCAGGAACAGCATGGCTGCCTTCTCCTCCCCTCTCT